AAACAAACAAAACCTCACAGATTCCTAACACAGGCACAAGCACAAGCACAAGCACAAGCACACAAGATCTGTCCATGTAAGACAGGTTAGATCTAAACTGGGGCTCTGGGTGCTGCAGATTTCTCAGAGGTAACTGCTTTTTTTGGAGACCATAGTATAACTTTTGTAAGTACTTAGGATGTTACTATTTGAGGAAAACTAGCTGCCCCCTAGTTTTTTATAATCTATGCATATATAATTATTACAAAATGAAAATGCTAAAAATTTAACCCAGGAAAATATTGATGGCACTAGTTTTAAGACAAATTATACAAGGTATAACTAAGGTGTATAACACACTATATAACAGTACATGATATACAGTAAGTTATGTGTCCTATAAAGGACACATATGAAAGTAAGCGTTGCAAAAGTTTAAAGGCCTACACACCTTCCCTCCGGACTTTAAGGCTGCACATACTGACTGCAGCCTTCAGTAGTCCTTCACCCAGCACTGCTCTGGAGACCGTCATAATTACAGACAGACAAACCTTTGCTTTACTTGGCCTGGTTGATGTACTGAATGGGCTCTCATGCAGCCAGGCTGGCCTCAAGCTTACTCTGTAGCCAAGGGTGACCCTGAACCACTGGGTCTCCTGCCTCTTGCTCCCCACTAACTGGATTAGTTAGGTGTCAGTATGCCAATCTAAGACAAAACAAATTAAAATTTTAAAAAACACAGATGTTCACATTACGATTTGTAATAGTAGCAAAATTACAGTTATGAAGTTGCAAAAAAACATAATACTTTTATGATTGGGGGGCTCACCAAAACATGAGGACTGTATTAAAGGATCGCAACATTAGGAAGGTTGAGAACCATTCTTTTACAGGCTCATTTTGAGAAAAGTAGTGTCTTTCTCATCCCTTCTTGTGACCCTCCTTTCCCACCCAGTTAATATGGCTCCCAAGGCTCCAGCTTAGGTCAGATTCTATGGGAAGAGCCATCACAAGTTCAGTCACTAAGCTCAAAGAGGTGTGACTTAGTTTTTGATCATGAAGCCTCCCCAAGGACAGAGGCTTCCCATAACAAGCCACAGAGAGCAGCAGCCAACTACTGTAGCTAGGAGAACTGCCTTAGCTGCAGCTGCTGCTCCCGCCACATGTGCTAACTTACCAGCACAAAACACTTTCATTTTCAGTCCTCTCAGCCAGTCCAAAGAGAAACTTAAGTAACTGCCTACACCACTGCCTTCACCTAGCACCTAAGCAGCTATATGGTAGCAGCTTAATATCAGCCCTGGGGGAACTTACAAAACTGCACTGAGCAGGTTTTCACTCTTACTGAGCTACAGTTGAAAACAGCTGCCTTGGGTCTCAACTTCAAGCCTCTCAGGAATGATTTCAATCCCTCTACGCCTAGAGGTGTTTGCCATGTTTGTGAACCCAGAAACACCCCTCAGTGACAAGAGAGAAAAAAGTCTTATCTTCTATGTCTGGTGTCTGGCCCGGTAAGGGTGATAGGAGCACAAGCCCTCTGGGTGAAGGCTCAGCACAGCAGGCAGTACAGCCGGCAGCTTCTCAAAGGGCATCCGAAAGTCCTTGAGAAACCACTGCTAACTCCAAGTAACTTCTTCATTTATTTTTATTCATAGTCTTTCCCCCTCATTTTTATTCACAAATCTGATTGGCATCCCTTATACAGACCAGAAGAAGAACCGCCCTAAGGAGTTCGGGGCCTCAGAAGCTCACACATTCTCTTTCCTCACTCAGATACCAGTGCCCAAGTGGTAAACCTAAGGCGCTCTATTCTTACTTGCAGCACTGCGTACCTTAATAAGCGCCTGTGTTGATACAACTGCAGAAGAGACTGATGGGGGAATCAATCAGTCAAATTCAAGATCACAATTAGCGCTCTACAGCTCCCTCAACCTCATATACAATCTTTAAAAAGCGAAACATTTTTGTAGCTCTCCCTAGCCCCAACGCAAACATCACGGACCTAAAAAGATAGAGAAAGACGATCCAATATGCACTCTAAGAGGGCTCACTCAAGGTCTCTAAGACTTGAGAAAAATAAAGACTTCAAACTTGCCATTCCCACTCTGAAAATGCTCATCCCTAATGTGGAAGGTGTAACCGAAAGGCAATTTTTCAAAAGATCAACAAATCTTTAGCTGAGGTGGATGAAAAAGCAAGACAATGAGAACTCTTACTGTTAACTTAAGATAATTTAGATGATATGGAACCAACTTTTCAAAACTGATAAGGAGATACATTAAACTGAATAAATCTGAATAAAGCTAAAGAGGTTAAATTAGTAATCAAAACATTTCCACACATTAAGAAAAAATGGAGAGCAGGTTGGGATGAAGGGAGTTACAACAGCCAAGACCAGATCAAACACTTCACAAAGTTTTCCAAAATAATACAAAAGAATAATACTAATTTGTTCTATGAGGTCGGTACATCCTGATACCAAAATCAGAAATCACAAAGCTGACGAATATCCCTTATCAACACATGACAATCTTCAAAACAATGAAATTGACAAAAGCAAATCCAGCCACACACACACACACACACACACACACACACACACACACACACACACACACACAAAGCATACATACCATGATCAAATGAGAGTCATGAAGGAAGCAAAGTCAATTTAATTTCAACATCAATTAGTGAAAGTGTCACTGCCTACAGAGTAACAGACAGAACCAGGGCTCCACCTCCATACACACAGAAATACTGCATGGAACTAGAGATGAGTGCCACTGGGCTTTTAGTTTGGGGAGGCAAGATAGCTCACTGGACAAAGCCCTGAGTTCAATCTCTTGGACCCACACGGACTCCCCCAAACTGTCCTCTGACTTCTACATGCACACTGTGATGCACACCCACACCTACACCCACAAGAGATAAACAAGCTTTTGTAATGTTAGGTCCTTTACCATTCTGGAAGCTGCCTGTGAGTAACTTAATCACCATGCTTCATCATGTGTACCAGTTCCCTCCCCTCTCCTTTGCTCTTATCGGGAACCAGAGTTGGACTTTGTCAAATACCTCCTCTGTGTGTTAATTCACTTGGGGCTTTCCTTTCCTTTTCTTTTCTTTTCTTTTCTTTTCTCTTCTTCTCTCTCTCTCTCTCTCTCTCTCTCTCTCTTTCCAGATTTATTTGTTTCTTATGTATACAATGTTCTGCCTGCATGTACACCTGCAAGCCAGAAGAGGGCACCAGATCTCACTATAGAAGGTTGTGAGCCACCATGTGGTTGGTGGGAATTGAACTCAGGACATTTGGAAGAACAGCCAGTGCTCTTAACCTCTGAGCCATCTTTCTAGCCCATTTTGGGGCTTCTTAAAATTACTATTCCATAGAAATGTAATATACATTTGGAAATTAATCTCTTATCTGCATTTATTTGCTAAACTCGTTTATTAAGTCTAATGTTTACCTGGAATTTTCTACATGTCTGCAGACAGACGTCATTTTATACACTCTTCCTTCGCCTTCGCCTTTTGTCACATGCCCTGCCCAGCACCCACTGCCAGAACACCAAAGAAAGGTAGCACACACTTGCCTCTCTTGTTCTTACAGGGGAAGTCTTACATTCATTTGTTTTGGTCTTTGTTTCTGAGGTGGACAGTCTCAGAAACCCTGGACTCAATGGTTTACTAGCTGTCTCTAGTTGATTTTATATTTCCATATCTGGTTTGCTTCCCAGTTTTTGCTATAACAATAATTTCTTCTCTCCTTTCGGAATGCTACTAGGCATTGTGCCCTCAAGAGCAGGTTGCTGACAAGACAACTCCTATATTAAACTGGAAGAGAACCATCCCAACAGATAGGCAAATTACAACTTCCACACATGATGCCCTAACATACATGCAAGCACTCATAAGTAAAATTAATAAGTGTTTTAGGGGTGGGGGGCTGGAGAGATGGCTCAGAGGCTAACAGACAGGCTGCTCTTGCAGAGGACCCAACTTCAATGCCCAGCACCCACTTGGTGGCTCACAATCATCTCTAACTCCAGTTCCAAGAGACCTAATGCCCTCTTCTGGCCTCTGTGGGTAGCAGGCACACATGTGGTACACAGACATAAATAAATATAAAATATAATACTTAAAAAAAAAAAAAAAAGCTGGGGGCTGGAGAGATGGCTCAGAGGTTAAGAGCACTGCCTGCTCTTCCAGAGGTCATGAGTTCAATTCCCAGCAACCACATGGTGGCTCACAACCATCTATAATGAGATCTGGTGCCCTCTTCTGCCCTGCAGATGTACTTGCAGACAGAACATTGTGTACATAATAAAATATTAAAAAAAAAAAAAAAAAGAAAAGCCCTCTTGGGCTGGATAAATGGTTCAGTGGTTAAGAGCACCTGTTGCTCTTGCAGAACCTGAGTTAGGTTCCAAGAATTCACAGCTTTAACTACAGATGCAGATCCATCACGCTCTGGTAGTGCCTCCTGGGGAGTCAGAACCCCTGGAACTGGAGTTACAGCAATAAGTGTCTCCATGCGGGTGCTTAGAACCAACCTACTCCTGTGCAAAAGCGGCAAATGCTCTCGACTGAGCCATCTCTTCAATTCCCTTAACATTATCCTACATTTAGGTTATACTTCACGGAAAAGAAAAATATACAAAAAAAAAAAAAAAATCTCCAAGCCAGTTGTTAGTTATATGGAATTGGTTGTTACTTTTCAGTTTCTTACCACCAGCTTAAAAATTGAAGGCTTTTCCCCATAAGATGCTATGTTGAACAAAACATTACTAAATTATTCTGATAGCTCCAAATATTAAATAAACATACTGATCCTCTTAAATTAATTTTCTCCAACAGTTTATAAGGGGTAACTGCTACTTGTGTTTAAAGGAAAAGGTCCAGTTGAATTATTAATAAATATAATACCCAGAAAACAAATAACTGACTTGTCAAAATTGTCCCCATGTTGTCGCCATCATCAGCTTACACTTCCCACGAGGAGGACGTCAGAATGCCACACTAACCTCTCTGTCGGGTGTCACGTCATCAAGCTGCTCTGTAAATGAGGATGTCCTGCTTCTGGCCCTTGTTGGTGTTGAGGAGCTGGAGGAAACCTACATTTAAAAATGATTGTACAGATTAGAAGACAGCACTGACTAGGACACTATGCACTGAGAGGTTCTGTTCTCACTCCATGCCCAGGAACTCAAAGAACGGAAGGGGACACATGAAAAAGCAGAAAGAGTAACTACAACAGAATCAACTAGAAGACTTAGCTACTACCCACTAAGTCTTTGAGCTGACAGTCAATTTTAGCAAAATGTATATAAGACTGTGATTACATTTAGGATGATAATATTGGGAGAAACTGAGGCCAAGTGATGAGTATATAAAAACTCTACTATATTTGCCATTTTTCTGTAAAACAAAATGATTCAAAATTTTAAGTTTGTTAAAAACAAGTTGTCAGCTTTAACTTTAAAGCCCCTGAAACATTCAAAACTATGAAATATACAGGTAAATAGCAGGGCCCACCTCTCCAGTCAAAAGCCTTTCTTTGACCCTACTTGCACAGCTCAGCTGGACACTGAGATGCTAAGAATAGCCTGATTACTAGAATCCTCAACACAGAACAAAGGGCCCCAAGTACTAAACCTGGTGTCTGAAGTCTACTCTGATACGAGCTAAGAACAGCCCTGAAAGTACAAAACCAAAACGTTAAGCCCCTCTGTACTAGTAACAAAACAGCTCTGAACTCACTCACGGAAGTGCTTGCTTCCACACTCTTTCACACCTACACAGCTTTACAGACAAGAAAAATTTCAAAACTACCTGTCGTTCACGAGAGAACAAGTCGACAAATGGAACCCACTGTGTGAACAAATGTGACAAATGTGTGAACACATTGCTAAGGTCAGGGTGGAGCTGAGGTCATGAGCACGTGCACACACACACAAACATATACAGAGAAAAGCAAACAGATGTAAGCTAAACTTCCCCCCAGAAAACAGTGTAGAAACAATTGGCCATTCACTCTGGAAGAGATATAAATGTTAACCTCTGAACAGGAAAAATGCTTATGTCAAAGGAGAAATTAAGAGTGAGTTTAAATGGCATGATGGACACATCTATAGACCCAAGCTTAATAATGTTCTTCAATAAGCAGCTCTCCTGAGGCCCTAAGTTAATCCTCAGAAACTTACTAGCCCAGTCCTCCCTTTATCTGCAACAGGGAACTTGAGACCTACCATCAGTCACACCCACGTGAGACTGAGTCACAAGTAAAAAAATAGACATGTCAAGTTAAAGGTCACCCTTCAGTAAGCTAGGGACAGAGCTGGAGACAGCCAAAGGAGTGCAGTACAGTGGGAGGTGCCATGCTGGCGCTGGCTATTGCAACTGCTGAGCAGCTGCAACGTTTTCATTAAGAGCCCAGGAGGTAGCCATCAGGCCAGCCTACTGTACAGGCTGTTGCTCTGCAGCAGCCTGGGGCCCTGGAAAAACTGTCAGCTACCTGGCATTCTTTAACAAAGTCTTTTTCTTCTTGTCTACACTGAATTCTGTCACTTACAACAAGGAATTCTAACACATGTCCCTTCTAAAGATCACCTGAAAATCAGCACACAGCCTGCTACAATCAGCCAGGTGAAAGTCACCTTAAAGGACAAGGTATCCTCTAAGCATCCAAGACAAAACAAGGCAAACCAGGACTTAAAACTTTGAAACAGGCAAATAGGTGAATGTAACATAAATCTTTTCCGATGGCTTAAGCATCCAGAACAACGTAACTCTGTCTGTGTGTTTTGAAAAAGGTGGCCACCAAACATGTTTACTCCAGAGACAGCTTATATCAAAGTTGGGGAAACTGAGTAGCTGCAAAGTGGCTGCAGTACAAGCACAAGGCCTGAGGTTTGCATGCTCAGCACCCACGGGAATGTGAGGGAGTGCAGTTTTACATCTGAAACCCTTCCTAGACCTAGAGTTAGTTTTCAAGCCAAGCCGCTTGAAAGGCTGAGATCTGAAGAGGCTGCCACAGGAAGGGAAGAGCTCCTCGCTGGGTCTGGGTGGAGGTGGGAAACGTTAGGAACTATAACAGCCTTGAGGAAATTCCTCTTGAGCAACCCATCCCCTACTGGGACTCCATAACTCCTGAGAAATCTCTGCTGTACTAATTCAGCTCTCCAAATACCTAAATGCCGAGAGGACCCCATGCCAAGATGAGACCTTGACTCACGTGAAAGTGCGTCTCAATGTGGATGTCAAAATTGGCCTTACATCTCAGCCTCCTGTGAGTCTAATCAGAAGGCCTCATCAACTCTGAACAAATATAAAACAAAGTAATCTAAATTTTTAATGGTTTATCAAGATGAAGAGTGAATGAGCTCTAAAACACCCTGTGCCCAGAAAAGTGCCACAGCACCTGGTAACATTCAGCCTAATGGCTGATCACTATCTGAAGCTACAAGACAAGTACGACAAGAAAAGCCTGGTCTCTGGTAGCCTGGATCTTTAGTATGCTCTCACACTTAGAGACAGATAGGACTTTAAGGGGCTGGAGACATAGCCCAGTGGTAGAGCACTTGCCTAACACGGGCAAGATCCTGGATTCCATTTGGGTTGTGTGTGCACGCGTGCACATGTTTGTGTGATGTGCACGTGTGTGCATGCTATTTGCTGAGAAAACTGGTGTTGCTATCCAGGCTCACACTCATATTCCCTTGCCGGATAGCTTATCATTAGCTGACCAGAGGCCTCAACTTCACAATAAGAAAAACCAGTCTAATGTGGAAGGTCCCACATCACCTTTGCCCGGTGAATAACATATCACTGTCACAACTGTGCTACCATATATGGAAAGGGGTTCTGAAAGCATGATTTTAGCTGAAAATGAGTTTACTCTAAATGAAAGAAAAAAGAAAAAGTACCCAGACAAGTTGAACCTAGTTACACAGGCCCTTCAAATGTGGGTCCAGAAGACAAAGATCAAGGCTAGAGGTTCGCACTCCTGCCCCTGCAGGGACACACGGCGAGAACTGCAGTCTGGGGTGGAAAGCCGCCTCTTCCACAGCCCGCAGAGCACTGGCTGAAGCCGACGGTAACCTCCTGGGCATGAAGGAAAGAAAACAACCTGACAGCACCTGGGACAGCCTTGAAACAGAGTCCTGCTGTCCCAGACTTCTGACCTACAGAACCGTGGCCGAACTCAGCTCAGAAGCTCTGAGGCTGCGCAAACTTCTGTAGAGTGTGAAGATGAACAGTAACCTTTGGGAATGGTAGGCTCTGCGCCCTGTCCCTATTCCTAGGCTTTTCATGACCTGTCAGAAGCTCCTAAGGCCCCACCCTAACTCCATAAGAATTTGGGCAGCACCTGTCTCGGCCGTGAAGGGACTAGGTGTGCCCTTCAAGGCAAATTAACACCGAGCACAACACCTTGTATGCACCGTTCAATAAAAACATCATCAACAACTGCAAATGTCTTCTTGTATTGTGTCACTTTGGGTCCTTACAACCTATCTGAAAGGCACAAAGGGCACACGATACCACAGCCAATTTCCTGATTAGAACTGATGCTCAGAATGCTCACGTGGCTTGCCAGGATAGACACAGCTTCTACCTCCCCGTCTGCCTCACCAGTTCACTGTCGATGACTACTTCCTGAAGTTCTCTGGCACTCACAGTAGAATAGCAACAATGCCGCCATACTTACACCCAACGCATAGAGACACCCCTAAAACAAAAGTTTTAACAAAACTACAGGCATAGGGGCTAGACCTCAAACGTGGGTCTTCGCCATGCAGACAATCACCAACTGCTGAGCTGCAACCCAGACACTACCGCCTGTAAACTTTATATCATGGATTCACTTTCTCTTTATTCTTGAATCACACATATTACAGTGAAATGTGACTATACCCATCGTCCATCTCTCTCCTCCCACCCCCACCCCAGCTCTGCTCTAGACTCACTAGTGCTACCCATGTGTGTGTCCCCACCAGTGAGAATGCCCACTGACCCTCCCTTGTCCAGCAGCTATTAACGGCCAGCAGCTGCTCACCGGGCAGTGGGCCCTGGAGAGAACCCCCTCATGATAGCTACCTTCTTGCCTGCATTTTCACTAAACACAGGAGGAGACTTCAGGTACAAGTCACCTGAGTGCTTTACAGAGATAACCAGCCATGTTATCTCTGTAAGCACAAAGCTCCTGTACCTGGCCGCCAGCTCCCAAACCTATACACTTCAATGTACTTCATGTTTTTAATATGATTTTTAAAAATAGGAATTGAAAGCATTAATCCCAGGTTTAACAACATGATTTAAAGGTAGCAAAAACACAGAATTTGGATCTCACATAGTGGGATGTGCTAGGTTTACCTTTGCTCTACTGGAGGCTCCCTTGCTGGGGTTTCATGGACACTCGAGAGTAGAATTGTTAGAAACATGGGTACAATTCTGTGCGTACACATCTCTTTAGGTGTCATACGGTTTAATTATCATGAATCTGTAACTCTCTGAAACCAACTAATCCCAGCTTTCTACAAGAAAGGAAACAGCATTCACACTATTTTTTGGTCAGCTAGCTCCCAAAGTTCTCTCAGCCTTACAGCCTTACAGCCTGTTAGAGGAACTGGACTGCCCTAATTATTGGAGCCGTAGACAAAACAAGCATGAGAAATCTCAAAATCAGGGGTAGTCAATGTTTTCTCATGAGTAGTTTACATCAGCTGTGGAATCACTAGCATGTTTGGCTGCTAATGGGCCTTTTGACTTAGCTCCTGCCTCTCAAGTTTTGCCCCAAGCAGCTACAGCCAGAAATAGGTGCGGCATTAGGCTTGTACTAGCATTCAGCACGCCTGCTCAGGAACTCCTCCCACACACTCAACTAGGGCAGGGACAGCCCACTGGACCTTTCTGCATTACACAATTACACACTGCTCCAGTCCCTGCAAATCAACTTGACACTTCAGTTAAGGAAGGGTTACCTACCTTGGGTTTAGCTTTCTAACGTCTACATTTCAGGCACTAGTGGGAGTTTTTCAGCATGCCCTTAATCAAGCATCTTTGCCATTCTACAATCTACCGTAGTTCCAGAAATGAGCCCTTACTCTTGTGATAT